ATGATTACCACCATTGCAAGCTGATATGATTGCACGAGTCCCATGATCCCATCCATACCAAAGAGGCAAGAGCAATGACGCCAAAGACAAGGCTAAGCGCCCGTGTGAGTCGCCGGCCGTTCCTCTGCCATCTCTTCTCCCCCTCCTCCTGCACCAGTGGTTGAGAAACACCAGGAGGGATTGAGTGCAACAGCAAGAAACACAAGGAGCAAACAGAGCAGACTTAAGTTTTTTCAGGGGACGGGAAAGGACGGTGTGAAAGTTGAGCTGGACAGATGCTTTGGATTGAGGTTGGGGTGTAGAAGAATAACTGCGTACAGTGTTTTGCGGGTAGAAGGGGTCAAGCTTCATGAAGAGCTGGAAGATGTAGAAGGAGAGGAGGAACTGTAGGATCTTCCAATCCGTGCTCTGTGCCCCCACCATCCACACCGCCTGCAGGCAGAGAGAGGCAAGGATTGGAAGGGAGGGGCAAGGATTGGGAGTGGGGGGGAAATGTGCATGGAGGTTCATGGAGAGCTGGAAGATGTAGAAGGAGAGGAGGAACTGCAGGATCTTCCACTCCGTGCTCTGCGCCCCCACCATCCACACCGCCTGCACAGGTCGCAAGTGGAAGAAAGCAAGGAGCGGACAGACAGTGCTAGAGAGGGATGATGAGGATGAGGGGTTTTCCTCAGGCATCTCAACTGCAGGATCTTCCAATCCGTGCTCTGCGACCCCACCATCCACACCGCCTGCAGGTGAACGAATGGAAAGGAAGCGAGGATGGGGAGAATTTTTTTGTTGCCATAGCTACAGGGATTAGAATGTGGTGTCATGGCAATACCATTGCTACAGTGTCATACATCTATCATGTAACAGTGTTACCATGGCAGTGGAGACAGCAGCGTTGATGAGAATGCCCTTGTTGTCAGCCTTCTCATAACGCCGCCACCATTGCTATGGTGTTAGTGTTGTGGTCACGATCGCTACGGTGTTAGCGTTACAGTCACTACAGTGTTGCACTGTTACCATGTTACAGGGTTACCATGACAGCAGAGACAGCAGCGTTGATAAGGATGCCCTTGTTGTCAGCCTTCTCATAACGTGGCAGTCACGGGAGGAAGTCCGTCTGGTTGGCAAACTTGATGTCTTCTGACACCTCGATGGAACCGAATGTGTTACGGTGTTACCCTGTTACCATTATAAAATATTACCATGACCGCGGAGACAGCGGCATTAATGAGGATGCCCTTGTTGTCAGCCTTCTCATAGCGCGGCAGCCACGGGAGAAAGTCCGTCTGGTCGGCAAACTTTATGTCTTTTGAGACCTCGAGGGACCCATATGTCACTCCCTTCTTGCGCATAGTGAGCTGCCGCATCATGATGGCGTCGTATGCCCTGTCGATCTGGGTACCCAGGAGAGTGGGGGAGAGAAGAGAGAAGAGAGAAGGAGGAGGGGGGGGAGGGGGGGGGGGGGGGGGGGGGGGGGGGGGGGGGGGGGGGGGGGGGGGGGGGGGGGGGGGGGGGGGGGGGGGGGGGGGGGGGAGGGGTGATGTTTGTGTTGGCCCAAACGTGACCCCCTGCTTGCACATGGTGAGCTGGCGCATCATGATGGCGTCGTATGCCCTGTCGATCTGCGGCAGGTATCAAGGGGGAGGGAATGGGCAACTTCAGAGTCTCAAGAGTTGGCACGAACGGCACACACTGCTTGCGCATGGTGAGCTGGCGCATCAATATGGCATCGTATGCCCTGTCGATCTGGACAGTGCTGGAACGGAGGGCGGAAAGGTGCGAGCGAGGGAAGAGGAGAGAGGGAGCAAAGCCCGTCTGGTCGGCAAGCTTGATATGATATCCCTCACATCGTGGACGGTGTGGTCCTCCCACACCGTCACCCTTTTCCTCAGCATTCCCATCCCAACCAACCTGCGTCCTTGCCTCCAACATCTCCCTCTCGGCCTCACTACCCTCCTCTCATCTGCTCTATTTCCGCCTCGTTCCCTTTGCCTTCCACGCCCCCCAACCTCCGCTTCCTCCTCACTCCCCCTCCCCCTAATCATGCACTTCCCTTCCCACTATCCCCCCCCCCTCCCCCCCCCCCTCCACCCGCTCTATCTCCGCCTCGTCCCCCTTCCCCTCCGCGTCCCACAGCTTCTCCCTGAGCCATGCTGGGGCCTCACGCTCCCCCCTCACTCTGTTCCCTCTTTAACACGATTTCCCCACTCCCACTCCCCCTTTTCTCACCCGCTCTATTTCCGCCTCGTCCCTCTTGTCCTCTGTGTCCCGCAGCTTCTTTCTGTGCGCCGTTCTGAGGCCTAACAATCCCCACCCCGTCCCCCTATCCCCCAAACCTCTCTCCCCACCCCTCCCCCCTCCCCCTCCGCCCCCCCCCTCCCCCGCTCACCCGCTCTATTTCCGCCTCGTCCCCCTTGCCCTCCGCGTCCCGCAGCTTCTTCCTGTGCGCCAGCTTGATGGCGTCGAACGAGTCCAGGGGGCGGACTCCCAGCACCTGGTAGGGGTCTTCCGCGGGCTGCGCGCCTGGCGAAGCAGCGTTGCACGTGATTCGCAGGCGGTTAGAGCCGCTGCAGTGGCGGGAACCGGTACAGAGGGATAGAGAAGGCGAAGGGGGATGGAGAGGAGAAAGGGAAAGAAATATGCAGACATGCAACTGTTAAGCAAAGTCGCAACCCCTGCATTGCACGAAAGACTAGTCATTAAAACGTCAAGGTTCAGATTAGTGAGTTTTGAGACGTCCTTAGATGTGGGAGTAACTACATGGCATGATAACCGTCTGGCGACGGCGAATTGCCACCGAAGACGCATATCAAAGCGAAACATTGCGTCTTGACGCATTCGTTCGAACGCCCCGTTACTCACGTATAGAAGCAGAAACATTGTCGCGATTCAATGTGAATCAAACGCGCTGTCGACGTTTATAGGTTGCCACGTGGCTGATGCTCACCTTACAGATGACTGGCTTCTGCATTGTAGCGGAACAGTTCTCAGCGAGAACAGCGAGACGTTTGTCGCTGACGACAGTCGACTCGATAACTGTGACGCAGTCGCACAGTTTGTCGCTGCTATCGCTGTCCTGATCGCTTGCGACGTCGCCGCGGAGGCCATTGATCTAATCGCTCAAACGCGTGCGATCACAAGAGTATCGGAACTTCGTTCGTTATCGAAGGAGTCGCGCTTAAGGCTGACGGCACTAGAAACAATGGGACCTAGTCGAGTAGTCTAGGAACCATAAGGCTGATAGTGTGTGATCACTCACACCACACCACTCTCTCAGCTCGACGAAAAAAGAAAGCAGCAACAAACAATCGTTGGCGGGATTGCAGGTTCCGCTTGTGGTGCTTGAGAGGACCTTGGGATTGGGCGAAAGGGGATAAACCTCGTTCTAGGAAGAAGCAAATGTCACTGTATTGAAGCGAACAAGGGCCAAATCAGAAAGACAGCATATGGTCCTGTTTCCTAGTAAAATTTTAACGAAACTCTCACTATCAGAGATGCTCATCCTCTACGGTCCCCCCATTCGTGCTTTCCCAAATTTCCCCCCTAGAATCTCTTTTCCCCACGCTCGTAATTCGTTTCTTGCTGTTCCGCACAATCCGCTAGCTTCACCGCTTCGTCGCTTGTCACTGCATTAAACATCCAGCTTCTCGTTAATCCCGATTAACGGGTAAGTCGTTCTTCCTCTTAGCCTGCTAAATTCTTGAGCTCTTCATTTTCGTACGCTGCCTCTCCACCTCAGGGGTCCGTCTTCGGGTGGTACGAGCAGTTTTGTGACGTTCATACCAGATCACACCGGAATCCGGATACATATCAGTTCCACATTTCGTGTTGCTGTCTGCTGCTGCTGAGTTATGGTGGTTCACACGACGCACCGTGCGGATAGACCGGACCCGGATCCTGCGCTTCCCAGCTCGTCATCCGTGACAATACCGGAGTCGGACTGTAACGAATCCGTCAAGAGACCCGCTATAGCAGGAGCGCGTCGTCTTCTTCAGAGACGGCTCCGGATCGGCATAACGGACGGTCGAGTGTTTGTAGGCCGGTTCAACTGCCTGGACAAGGAGGGGAATATTATCCTTCACGACACTGTCGAGTTTCGTCGCGCGTCTGCCGCCGCGGATCCCGCAGATCCCCGCAGGAACGAGTCGCTGGAAGAGAGAATGGCGCGTGCCACGTCAGCAGATCCGAATCCGCTGGTGGAACAGCGACGGCTGGGATTGGTGCTGATTATGGCGAAGGATCGGGTGTGGACTGACGTGGAATGTGGACTAGAGGAGAAGCTGGAAGGCATAAGCCTTAGTTGAGCTGCTAAGGCTGCGTTCATCTTTCGTGACAGGCTACCCGACACAAGGTCCTTGACAATCTAGGATATGTAACCCCATCAGCAAGGCTGCTGCTGAGTCCTGACGTGACAAGATCCCAGGATTGCTTACTGAAACACATGATGTATGGAAGTATAGCCACTAGCAGTACTCTGAAATGAGCTGTAGGTTGTCTGTGCCTCTCACTCAATAATAATACTGGGCGTGCAGGGCATTGACAAGGCAACTCTCTCTCACCTCAGGCCTACTGGGGTGCGTGCATTGAAGTAATACTCCACTCCAACAGAAGCACCTAACTCTGCCATCTAAAGGTGGTATGCATATGCCTTTCATCACCTGTCAAGCAGGTAGGGTACCCTGCTGAATGGACTTCTGAATAGTCCACCAGGTCTGCCTGCTTGTAAACATGGAATCAACTTGCAGGACAATCAACTCGCAGTGCGGGCACAGGCTGACACCATATAGAAAACTCTCTTTCATGGCAAGGAGTGGATCTCCACAAAAAAAAAACTACTTATGTGTAAAAGGATCCCGCCAACCGGATTCGAACCAGTGACCTAAGGATTGCTCATCTACAGTCCTCCGCTCTACCAACTGAGCTATAGCAGGATGTCTTCATAATGAATAAAATTTTATTTAATTTATGATATGCGGATTCTTTCTCTGCACACCAAAATTCCTGCATTTATGGCGTCAAAATGGCGCCTTGCGTCGTTCTTGTCTCTCGCCGTGTGGTGCGCGCTTCTTCAACCGCGCGGAGCAGCCTCTGATGCCTTGCTGGACGGATGGGAACCCCTCGGCTCTGAACCCAAGGACCAGCCCACTCTAGCTCTATATCGCGTACGCGCTTCCGTCGTTCCCATTCACCCACCTGTTAGCGTGACTCCGCAATTTTCGACCTGCTATCTCCATCTTTTCTCACAACTCGCCCTGCCCTTCCCTCCCCCGCCGCCGCCCCCGCGCTTCCCCATCCCGTCCCCCTGCAGGCGTGGGAGAGCGCCTATGGCCTGCAGCGGGGCTCCCTCCTTCCGCCATCGCCCCTCCCCCTTCCGCCCGACCTCCCCCCTCCCCCTCATCTCGCTGACTGCGCCGCCCGTACTCTTGCGCGGGAGGCGGCGGAAGGGGGACCGTGGCGAGGCACAGGGGGAGGAGGGGGGGATGGGATCCGCTGGGAGGACACGTGGCAGCAGCAGACTGGTGGTAAAGAGGAAAGCTTATCCGAATGCTGTGATCGGTTGCCTCCCCGCACTCCATGGGTATGTAAAATGATGACTTTTGAGTGCGGGGAGGTTCGTCTCTGCTTTTCTGACTCAAAAGTCCTTCCCGCACTCCATGGGTATGTAAAATCGTTTGACTCGTGGTGAGGTTCGTCTCTGCTTTTCTGTAGCCTGTTATTAACGCCTGTGACTCGCAAAGTATAGCTTGAACAAGTGAAGGCCGGGAGACACCCTTCAACTTCCCCCACCCACTCTTCCCCTCCTCCCCGCTCCTCTATTCCCCCTCCCTCGCCTTCCCCCTCCCTGGGCTTCCCCCTCCCCTCGCCTTCCCCCTCCCTGGGCTTCCCCCTCCCCTCGCCTTTCTCTCCCTCCTCTCTCCCCTTTCCCCTTCCTCCCTGCCCCCTCCCATCCTCGCCCCCTCCCCTTTCCCCGCCTCCCTCCACTGCCATTCCTCAGCGCACAAGCGCTTCAACTCCCACCCCCCTTCCCCCCGATCCCTGTCCCCCGACTCCCCTTCTCCCCACTCCCCTTCCCAGGTGCAAGGCACGGATGCAGCCAATCTCGCGCTGACACGTGTCGCACAGCGGGACATCTGGGCTCACCAGATGCTGGCGTCAGCAGCAGCAGGGGGAGAAGGACGCGGAGGCGGAGGAGGAGGAGGGGGAGAAACGTGTGAGGGGAGGCGGTTGCTGGTGGTTCCGTGGATGCCCACCGACCGCCACGTCAGCGCCAACCCGTTCCACGTCATTGCGAGTCAGATCCACGTCATGGCGGATTTCTTGGGCCTGGCGATGCAGCACAACCGCACGCTGGTTGCCCTGCCTGGCAGCTACGGTCCTGCTCTCAACAGTGATTGCAGAGGTGGTGTGATTGTATTGGGGGGGGAGGGTGAGGGGATTGAGTGGGAGAAGGGTGCCTGATTATAGGGGTCGTTGATTATAGGGTGAATGTGAGGCCCAATGCAGCACAACCGCACGTTGGTTACCCTGCCTGGCAGCTACGGGCCGGCTCTCAACAGTGATTGCCGGGGTGAGTGATTTAGCCGATATTGTCTATAGGGGGAGTGGGTGATTATGGGGGTGGGTGGAAGGACCAGTGCAGCACAACCGCACGTTCCTCCTCATGGGGGCTCCTCCTCCTCATGCGAGAATGTACACTTCTCATGAGGAGGAGAGTGTACACTTATGAACATAAGAGCTGAATTTACCAGGCGAGGGGACCTGCTTCTTCTTTCCCCTCACCCATTCTTCATGCTGCTCCCTCTGCGTGTCTCTGTGTTTTCTTGTGCGTACCTCTGGGCCTCTCTCTCTGCGACTCTGTGTGTGGTGTGTGCAATCGCGAACATGCAGAGATGAACCAAACGGGCGAGTGGACCTGCTTCTTCTTCCCCCTCGCTCACCCCGCCTGCTCCTCCTGCGTCTCCCACCTCCAAGCAAACGGTCACATGCCCACCTGCCTCCCTATGTGTGCCCCTCTATTCTTCTGCTTGAACATGCAGAGCTGAACCAAACGGGCGAGTGGACCTGCTTCTTCTTCCCTCTCGCTCACCCCGCCTGCTCCTCCCTCATCTCGCACCTCCTCGCCAACGGTCACATGCCCACTTGTTTCTCGTTACAGTCACAGTCCTCATTACAATCACAGTCACAGATATTGTCGCAGCTGCAGCAGCACCTGGCGTCGCCTCAGGAGGTTGTGTGCATTGGTACTGACTTTCCAACAGAACCCATTGATGCACCCGCACCGGTGCACGGCAGCTTCCCGGTTGCTGCTGAAACGGCTCCTGCTGCTCCCTCCGCTGCAGCACCAGCACCGGCAGCAGCAGGATCAGAAACATCAGCGTCAGTAGTCTCGGAAGCAGCAGCATCAGCAGGGGCACCAGGGGAAGCAGCGTCAGCATCCCTGGCATCAGCCATTCAATCAGCAGCAGCAGCGGTTGTGAGCCGATGGGGCTATCCCCATAAGCAGCGACCCGTTATGGTGGATAGGCAGGGCGCACTATACACCATGTCGGAGGAAAAAGCCCAGGTAGGACGGATTTTCGTTGATGATAATGGCTTTTGAGACGTCTCAAAAGTTCGTTAATGATAATGGTCGGATCTTCTTTTCCATGAGAAAGAAATGGGAGTTTCAATCGTTGCTCAAACAAAAATCCTAGAGGTTGGTTTGAGGAGAAATCTCACCCTCTCCCACCTCCCCCTCCCTCCTCCCTGCATCTCCACTGGTGGCGATCCCAAGCTGCCCGCTTCCTCCTCCGCCGGCCTTCCCTCCTTACCCACACCAGAATCACCCTCCATTCCAGCCACCTTTCACCCCTCCCGCTCCGACTTTCCCCTCCGCCAACCATGCCCTCTCCTCTCCTCTCCCCCACTTGCCGCTCCACTGGTGGCGATCCCAATCAACCCGCTTCTTCCTTCCCCATCTCCTTTTCTCTTCCACCCACCCCCCTTCCCAATACTCCTTCTTCCCCCCTCCTTCCTCCCTGCAGCTCCATTGGCGGCGATCCCAAGCCGCCCGCTTCCTCCTCCGCTGGCCCTCCCTCCACCTCTGCCACGTCATCAACCGCGAGCGCCACGTAAGCATGGGTCTCCACGTGGCTGCCAGCCTGGCACCCGCCATTGCCAGCCAAGCGTCTCTCCTCCACTCCCTCTCGTCTGGTACTGTTCCCGGCACCACCGCAGCTACCAACACGACGTTTGCAGTCCGGTATTCCAAGAATCTGCCGAATACAACAGAGGAGGCAGCTGTGTTGACTGAGGCTGGGAAGGCTAGTGCACAAGCGCATGTGCTCTCGTCCCGTATTGCTTCTTCCTTTGCTGCTGCTTCTGCTTCTTCCCCGTCCTCTTCCTCCTCCCCCTCCCCTACCATTTCCTCTCTCCTCCACTCTCCCAACTCCTCCCTACTGGAAACCCACGTATGGGTGGGGAGGGATGGGCCGAGGCGAGTGAGTGTGCATGCTGGGGGAAGAGTGAGGAGCGAAGGAAAGGGAGGGAGTGAGGGAGCGAGTGAGGGAGAGAGTGAGGGAGGTGGCAGCAGCACCAGCACCATGGGAAGGTTGTGTGGTGCTACAATGATGGCTAACACAACAACAGTGGATGAGCTTATAGCGAGTATAGGGCAGGGCGATCTGTTGACTCTAGACCCGGTGACCATGGCGCTGGGCGGGGAACCCTACCTGCCTCGTCCAATAGCAGCTGTACACGTCAGCAGGGGGGATGAGGCAAGGACTGAAGGAGCAGGAGAAAAGGCAGGAGAAACGGCAGGAGAAACAGCAGGACAGTGGGGAGATCAACGGACAGCAGAAGTATCGCAAGCACTGCAGCGGCTGCAGTGGCTGAATCCCGACCTCAGGAGAGTGTGTCTATCTGGAGATGCACGTGAAACGGTGAGTGATTGACTCTAATCAATACTGTGAGAGAGTGATTCGAGCCGTTCAAACGGCACATAGCACTCTCGCAGGCATTGCAGCGCCTGCAGTGGCTGAGTCTGAACCTGAGGAGAGTGTGGCTGCCTGGGGATGGTCGTTAAGCGGTGAGTGATTGATTCTCATCAACACAGTGAGCGAATTATTTCAGTCATTCAATGGCAGGCAGCAGTCTCGCAGGCATTGCAGCGGCTGCAGTGGCTGAGTGAGTCTGAACCTGAGGAGAGTGTGGCTGTCTGGGGATGCACGTGAAATGGGGAGTGATTGATTGTAATCAACACGGTGAGCGAACAATTCGAGTCATTCAGATCAAACGGCACATAGCACCCTCGCGAGCATTGCAGCAGCTGCAGTGGCTGAGTCTGGACGGACTTGGGGTGGGGAGAGTGCGGCTCTTTGAGATGCTCGTGAAACGCACCCCCTCCCCTCCCTTCCCCTCCCTTCTTTTCCCCAGCCCATCCAGCAGCATCTGGAGGAGCGTGGTTGGGCCCTCCTACACTCCACTCTCGCCCGCAACCCACCTGCTCTGCTGCCTGCTGCTGCTGGTGCTGCAGCCGATGCAGCAGGAGCGGGAGCAAAAGCAGGAGGAGGAGGGGAAAGAGATGGATTGGGAGGTTCGGCCTCAGCAGCAGCAGGAGCAGCAGCAGGAGCAGCAGCAGGAGCAGCAGCAGGAGCAGCAGCAGGAGCAGGAGCAGCAGCAGGAGCAGCAGCAGGAGCAGCAGCAGGAGCAGCAGCAGGAGCAGATGCCTTGCCGGAAGCAGCAGTTGTGTTTGCTGACCTGCTGACATCATCCCTTGCCGATTTCCTCATTGCTGACATCAGCACCGAATCAGGCAACTTGATTCACGAGCTTAGATGCACCAACGGGCGCCTCTTCTCCCCCGTGTGCGATTTGACTCTCTGACATTCACCTAGTAATTCAATTCAACGCAAAAGAATGGACCTACCATGTGGCCGACTTCTCTGAATTCAACGGGGTAACAGAGTTCTTTTCCATGCGCTCTTGCAAAATCTCAACTCAAGCCAGATGGATGCCGTATACATCCTACTAAAAAGGCTGGAGAATTACCAGGGATGTGTGTGTCAACTCCTGACATGTGGCGGGGCCTTTCTTGCAGCCCCAATGAAGTTACGGTACCAGGGCCTTTCTTGCAGCCCCTAATAATCCCTGGCAAACCACCTGGAATTCTCTGAAGTGTCTGGAAAGGGATACCGACTGCCGGCGCCTGTACTGTATGTATCAGTTGTTGGGAACAAATAAGTTAAGCGCCTCTGTCGTGTCGAAACTCAGGACACAAAGCGAAGAAGTCCAAATCGAAGCATCGCGAGTCAACCCTCGGAGGTTAGGGTAACCGCTTGAAAGTTATGGGAAGGTCAAAGGTCAGCGACCTCTGACTTGACCAATACAGCGCGCCAGCAAGGACACACAACTGACTCGACATTGAGCAGTTGCCCGAGTCGCACTGTATCGAATCGCAACAGCAAGGTAGTTTAATTACATCTATTCGTATTCCTTGTACTCTTATATAAAGCTTTGTATTTGCCTGTTTTAATCAACTTACTTTGCCCTCACATACCAGCGCAAGGTGGTTCAAGGCTTTCTTATTCAACGCTTCCGCTATTACATCATCCTACTCAAATTTTAACTCTACAAAGATCTTAGGGCACCTCAGCCCAACATGGTATGAGAGCAGTTAGAGTTAAAATTCATTATTCAACACTCAGTACATCAAAGAAGACATGTCTGCTAGAAAAGAGAGGAGCTCCTCCAACGGCTCTCCCGGTACTACCCCTACTCCACCACCTGCCTCTGGCCTACTGACAGAGGAGGGGACAACGACGAGACCAGCAGCTGGGTCTACGGAAACACCCGCAAACCAGGGCGCGGGCTTCGATCCAAGCATGATGGAGAAATTTTTCTCCTTCATGTCCTTCTACGAGCAGCACCAGCAAGGAGCACCTGCGCAATCAAACAACAGCAACAACAACAACAACGTGACGCCTATGAGTCTCGATGGCTCATCCTACGCGCGCGGGAATCAACATCAACAACCCACCTTTGCTCCGTACAAGCCCCAGCGTGGCTCCGTCAGCTTCATGCCGCAACCGCAATCTGCACCAGGACAAGAAAGGGCATTGGACGCATTACAAGTCCAGTCGCAATTCGCGCACGTCCTGAAGCTGCAAACGACAAAGCCTTTCGACGGCAAAGACTTCTTCACCTGGTCGTTCGAGTTCGAATTGATGATGGAAGGAGCACAGATTCTCGGCTTCTTCGACGGGTCCCTGCCATATCCAACAAACGGGACACAATATGAGAAGCAGCAGTACACCTATCAGTCAATGATGGCGTACACGATACTGCTAAGAAACATCACCCCGACCCAGCAGCAGAACATCAGAACCTACCGAGGCTACGGCAACTCCGCGGAGCTCGCGTACAACCACCTGAAGAACCTGTATCAAGCAACAGACATCGTAAATCAAAACAGGTGAATG